GGGAGGCTGCCTGCGCCAAACCTGCGGCTAGATAAACTGATAATAGTAATCTCACGTGGTGGTGCTTTTATTCCACTTTCCATGTTCTGCAAAGTATATATCTTTTATATGGGATAAAATGCAATCAAATAAATGTGTTTCACCTTGTCTTATCAGCTTCTGAAAGTACTGTTTCTATCGTGTTTTCATTTTGTTGTTCAAAGGGCACTGACAGCAGAATGGAGACCAAGTGCCGGAGTCGACGTGTGTTTTGCTCCAAGACAACCATCCATACCTTCCTGCTAGGAGGAGTGTTTATTGCACTGGGCTCAAGCCGAATCCTCCTAATGAAGTATTCCGCTAATGAAGGTGGTGTTGAGCAATGAACACAGTGTATCCCAGATGAGAAAGACTTGACCTTTATGATAAAAGAGATGTCCCACAATATAGTTCTCTACCTGTAGAGCTTTTACCATAATCTTTCCATTACATAAATCAGGAGTGATTTTTCTGTGATGGAAATGCTTGTGCCATCTTTGGGTGTAACGTGAAGTTGCAAGGTGCTTGCTTCTTCCACATGGAGATCCACCCTTAAAACATCGAGCATTGGGTTACCCTAGAACTCATTTACAAAAACCAAGTTATTGTGTAAGCACTATCAACTGGGCATATCTTGACTCTTAGTTTCACAACAGACTCAAAGGAAAGTGGTGTAATAGTTTGGATGCAGTAACTCTTGATGTTCCTGTTCCTCCAGTCAGAAGGTATTAGGAATGTGTGTTTGAAGTAGTTCTTAATAAAAAAATAAATAAGGGTTAAAAGAAAGCCTTTTTGGTATGGAGCACTGGCTTTCAATAAATCTTTTAGAACTGCAGTGCCCTTGGCGTCTTCCAAACAGTTCTACTGTAAACTGAAGACAAGCAGGGAAGAATTTCAGCCCCAAAAAGGGAATGTTCAGCAAGTTGCATATCATTAAAGAAGGGGTATATAAGATTTAAGTGCTGACATGACCTTTTGTGGAAAGTAGATAAAAGTATAACTAGAGGGATTGAATGGTTTCTTGCGTTAATTGTGCAGTCAAGATGCAAAATCTAATCGTGTATTCTTTATAATTTATTGAATCCCACAGAAAACAAATATGATTACCTTCCTACAACAGTGAACATCTGTTCTGAAGTGGTGAAACTGGTGCTGTGTGTGATATTGGCACTGTGGGTTAAGAAAAAAGGTAAGTACATACGTGTAAAATAATTCTGATGTTCTGACTTTGAGATTTCTTGTACTCATATGAGGAAAGACTAAGTGAACTGAGCCTGGAGAACAGAAGATTGAGAGATCTGATCAACATGTACAAATACCTGAAGGGTGAACGCAAGGAGGATGGGGGCCAAACTCTTCTCCATGGTGGCTGGTGACAGGACAAGGGGTAATGGATACAAGTTGAAACAGGCAGCTCCATCTCCATGTGAGAAATAACTTCTTTCCTGTGAGGGTGACAGAGCCCTGGAACAGGCTGCCCAGAGAGGCTGTGGAGTCTCCTTCTCTGGAGATCTTCCAAACCCACCTGGATGCCACTCTGTGCATCTGAATGTCGCTGCTGGAGCAGAGGGGTTGGACTAGATGATCTCTGGAGGTCCCTTCCAACCTCAACCATTCTGGGATTCTGGGATTCAAATACTTTAATTTTCCTTCTGTGACAGCTTCACTTATGGTAGCCTGCAGTAGGTACTGCTGGTAATGTTTGCTGGACTTGTGTCTTACATGTGAAATTATAACTAAAATATATGTAATTTATATATATGTGTGTGTGCATATATATAAAACTAGTGCTGTATACATAGTTTATATATAATTATATATCGTAATAATGATAATGGTATATTATATAATTTATATATAATTTATGCTGTAAATTCAGGTGCTTCTGAATTGCTTGTATGATGGCTGAAATCAGGGCAAGAAAGCAAAATCAGGAACCCTAGCTTCCTGATGCAGCCTAACTTTTTCAGAGTTCATGCAGTCTTAGGCTAGGATGACATGAATCAACTCAAAGAGATCTTTGCAGAAGGGCTGGACAGAAGCTTATTTAATGTTCTAACTGGAGGCCTTTATCTTCTGGCATTCTGGTCACTTTTCTTCAAAAGTGCTGCTACAGTTCAGTGTAACTTTGCGAAGACAAATACCGGGACTGTCCTCTATTCAGGAAAAGCAGTGTTGGGTTTCATTGGCTACTGGTTTTGTACTGCAGGTCCCCCTTGCCCTGATGCTTGTACCACTTCTGTCCTGGTGTAAAAAAGGATGCGAAGTTAATTTCACAGCATTTCAAAACAGTAGAGGACATATCTTTAAACTTGAAGGGAGTGTCAGGCACTACGGACTCTTTCATTTCATCTTCAATTCAAGTGGTAGCTCCATCCACTTCCGCATGTAGCCGTCATGACTCCAACAGGCTAATGAAACTTTTATCTCTGACGTTTAGGACAGATAAAAGTAAAAGAGTGAATACAGTTTACAGTGTTGGCTCCTGTTGAGTCCATGTTTTCTTAAATCTTTTCTTTCTCTCCTTTTTTTTTTCCTTCCTTTTTTTTTTATTTCTAGACATCTGAGTTTTGCTGAACTCAATATCTTGGCATTCCGGAAGAGGATCAGATAACATTGTGTAGTCTTAAGTCTCTGCTAACAAAGTTCTTTTGTCATCGACTCTAGCGTAGTCTAAAGTTTAGCACAATCTTCTTTTTAAGTTATGTGTTCTAAATACCTAAGCAAATGGCACTCTTTGTGTCTTGTCCTTTCTTTGTGCTTTCTTGGCATATCTTCTCTTCTGACCTAGATTGTGTGCTGTGTGATACAAATACTAACTTCTGATTTACTTTTGTGTCTCTAACGTTACTGGTTGTCTTTTGGGTAGTGGTCTGTAATACGGGTCATTGTTTCAGATCTAGACGGGATTGATGATTATCAGAAAATTACGTAGTAATGATCTATCTATTGCATGGTAGTTTTAGGGTGCTTTCTGGCCCTTAAGGAATGATTGATGATCTCATTTTTGTTCCCAGTGAACAAATACTCTGATGGGGGTAGAAGGTTCCTTGGTGGTTTCTCTGCTGAAGGAAGGAGGTAAATGCCCATAGAGACTGACTTGCTGCTCTGGCTGCGTGCTCTGCCTTGGATCTGTCCTGTATGTTGCCAGAGGGCTGTGGTATCTTGGCTTTTTTAGTCAAATAGTGTTTCTAGAATCAGAATGGTGATACGTGTTCTGTTGTGAGGGGTTTGGAATGGGCTTTTGATGATAAGAGGGATATCTAACTTATTTCTTTTCCTTTCAGAGGGTTGTTCGGATCATCGCTTTGAGTGTCTTTCCTGGAAGAATTTTTGTAATTCCATGAAATGGTCAATTCCTGCCTTTCTTTATTTTTTGGATAACCTAATTGTCTTCTATGTCCTCTCCTACCTCCAGCCTGTAAGTATATGTGTACTGAATAAAATATCTTCCAAATGTCTGAGTCATAACACTGCCCTTCAACAATCTGTGGTTGTAAAGTAGGCAGGGCAAGTTTTGTAGGTAAATGACTGATATGACTAGCTAGCCCTTTCCATTCTGTTGCCCGTTGATCTCTGTTTTACAGCTCTCAAGAAAGGAGAGTCACCTTGGGATTTCTCATTCCTAAGTGATTTAGAAATAGACCGAATTCCTTAAGCACTAGAGAAGTTTATGGCATTTTCCTTGCTTTGTTTTCTTTTTTGTTTTTTTTTTTGTCCCTCTGTTTCTCTTCCAATGCATTTACCCATTTTGTTACACTTTTTCTGTGCAACTATCACAAGTGTCTCCATGCAACTTCATGTGGTGACTTGATGACTTGTTTCCTTTCTTCACTAATTCCAAAGATGTAAGTGAACCTAATAGGGAGAGAGGACAAGAGAAAGAGAAATGTTTGACTGCTAATTTTTACATTTTTTTATTAGTTACCTTTAAACATGGAGCTTAATTAACCCTTTCCTGAGCTATGTTCAGCATTTTGTGGATGATTTTACATATATTCTTAAGAAATAATGCAGTGTTTATGCTTTCTGTTTTCAATATTGGTATTCTTTTTTGTTCAAAATCTGTTTGAAGCTAAATGGACACAGATGGTTACTGCTCACTATAAAATACTGTGGCTACCCCTGCTTAGCATTACAGATTAGTATAAATGTTTCTGTTCACATTTTTGCAGACTTTTGCTTTAAAATATTGTCCTTCTAGGTGTACATTTCTGGCAGGGGCAGGACACAGTCTGGAAAAGAACTTGGCTGGGAAAATCTGATTAAAATCAACAATCTTGACATCTTAAAAAAACGCATAGTGCTTTTGTTGCTTTGGGAAGAAAATTCAACTATAATGTCTGTAACATTAGCAAAGCCTGATATTTGAAGTACCACATCAACATAATTGCTTTCTTAAAGCCATTTGGTTTGGCTTGGTTAAAGTGGTTTCTTATAAAAAGTGCAGTTTGTACATCTGGATATGCTCTGTAAGGATTTGCTGAAATTATGTCATTATCATGATAAAACAAACATAAATAATAAATCACATATCTAAGTGCCTGTGAGCTGGTACAAAATTCTGAAAAGACAATCCCTGTTTCAAGGTGTTGGCAGCTTGGGATCGTGACAAGGGGTTATAGCAGTATCATTCTTATAGGCATATTCCCAAATTAGACAGGAGCTTTGAAGTTTTCTTCGTTTGTTCGTTTTTATTACTTAGGTAGGGAAGAAAGTTCAGTTCCATGGTGATCCTTTGCCCTGTGATTCCTGGCAAAATGGAGAACCTCCTGAGCCGGTGGACTTTTAATGATCACTCAGTGTCTAGAGTAACTTTGTTCCCTTGCTTTTGTTTATAGGCAATGGCTGTACTCTTCTCAAATTTTGTCATTATAACAACGGCTCTTCTCTTCAGAATAGTGCTAAAGTAAGTAGTACTTATTAAAGCAAATGTCATATTTCATTATTCTAGCTTGATTGAGGAAATTATGCTGGATTTGTCAATGTCTATCAATGAGGCTAATTCTGTTTCCTTGTGATTGTACCAGCTTGGAGAGATGACTTTCTTGTGCATATGGAAGTGCTGGAAATAGTATCTTACATCTCTCCCAATTCAGTTATCTATAATGGAAAGAAACCAAAATTATAGTTATGTAATTACTAGATGGTCAGAATTAAGATTCAGGTTCAGGTACCTTCATTTGTGTATTAAATCTGATGTTTCATGATTAACAATATTACTTGCCAATCTGTTGCAATTTTGAATTGAATGCAGATTGCGTGACTGTCTTTGTCCTCCTTTTATCCATCAGAACTTTCTTCCGTTGTAGAAGAGTTGCGTTTATTTGTTAGGCAGTCAGTGTCTAGAACTGACGTGATCTTGAATGTCTTTCCTTAAATTATCTGTACAGAATTCTGCCTCCTGCACTCCTATATTTGCTAAGCTGGAGTCCCCTTAACCTAGGGCAAAGCACACGGCCTCGTGGCATTTTATTGTTGACACTGAAAGACTCTTTTGTGCTTGTGTCCATCTTGTTATCTGTGGTGTGCTGTTTCTGTATGTTTTATAGGGCTTGTTTTTCTGTGATATAATTTCTTGCCAATGTGGTGGCTTTTTTTTGTCTACTCTAGGCGACAGCTCTCCTGGGTACAATGGGCATCTCTGGTGATCTTATTCCTGTCCATCGTTGCCCTGACTTTAGGGACTGGAGGCCACCAGCACAGCTTAGCTGCACACGGATTTCACCACAACGCATTTTTTAGGCCTTCTAACCACTGCCTTCTCTATGCTGGACATGAGGAAAAGTGCCTGGAAAATGGCAACTGTGAGGCACCCAGCTTCCTTCCCAGCTTTCAATGGAATGTCACCACTACTGTGGCAGGAGCGCTGAAACCTCTCCGCCTGAGCCTGGGCCACCTGCTTATCTTAGTGCAGTGCTTCATTTCTGCTCTGGCTAACATCTACAATGAGAAGATCCTGAAAGATGGAGCCCAGGCTGCTGAAAGCATCTTTGTGCAGAACAGTAAGCTGTATGCGTTTGGGGTGATGTTCAACGGGCTCATGCTGGGGCTGCAGGCCAAGGACCGGAGGCTGATAGGCAACTGTGGTTTCTTTTATGGGCACAACGTCTTCTCAGTGGCTCTTATATTTGTCACTGCTTTCTTGGGGCTGTCCGTAGCCTTCATCTTGAAGTTCCGTGACAACATGTTCCACGTCATGACTGCCCAGGTCACCACTGTGATCATCACTGCGGTCTCTTTCATCATCTTTGATTTCAGGCCTTCCCTAGAGTTCTTCTTGGAAGCTCCTATAGTGCTTCTCTCCATCTTCATCTATAACGCCAGCAAATGGCGAGGCCTGGAATATGCCACTCTGCGGGAGAGGGGCAAACTCTTCAAAGGAGACACATGGGAGAGGTCAAGCGGGGTAAGGCTTTTCAGTACTTGTCTTCTCTGCTTTCTCTTTTATTTCACCTTTCTTTACACTTCGGAATGCTTGGAAAATCTGCTGTGCACGTGACAGGACTGATCTCTCAACTGAAATACCAAAATTCCTCAATATTGGTTTACATCTTTTAAATTAATAGCTTTTTGCTTTGTGTATTTGACTTCTTCCATTCATGAGATCTAATTAAGCCCTGTTTTCTTGTTGTGTCTGTAGACAATCTTATGAGCAACTTTAGCGTGGTACAAATTTTCTCCTAAAAATAGTCTGGAAATAGTCTACTGGCACTGGGCATCCAGGAACTGCAACTGATATCTGGGAACTAATTATACTGAAGTAGATCTGGTCTGTATAGCTAAGCACACATGATAAAGAAGTTAGTAAATTTGATGTTAAAGTGCTCTCTGTCTTAACATAAAAAGATATGTGAAGACAAAAAGGCAATTCTTATATACATTTTTAATGTGATTGTTTCGATGAGACATTTCCTTTAGGTCTTTGTATTGTTTTTGGCCTTTAAGCAGCTATCAAGACAACTGGAACATGTCTAGTTGTATGGTGGGTTTGCTATTTGACTTCTCTTTCAACTGAGCTAAGAAGTCAATCTGAGAGAGGAGTGGTTATTGTGTTTGTGTATCTGCAAGTACAGATGTGCTCTGTAAACGTATTTTGCAACCAGCAGAGTGTGCTGTCTTCATTTAATCCTAGAAAATATTTAGTTGGGAAAATAGTGTTTCCTGGCACTATCTTATGGTCCCTTTTCAGGGTGTTTTTTAACAAGCAGCAAATAACATGTCATCTATTTTTGGTATACGAGGCATTGGATATCTTAACACTTGCAGTTCAGCAGCCATGATAAGAAAACAAGTAGCACAATGTTAAGTGGGTTTTCCGGTGAAGGAGTGGACTGCAAGCTTTTCCAGAGAGTGTTGCTAAAAAGCGTTACAAATACCTGCTCACAGAAAGCATCTCCCCCCCCCGGAGAAAGATTTTAACATACTTATAAAAAGTTTAAATTATAAAACTATGATATTTATAGAAGAGACTTCTTAAAAACAGCTGCTTCTTTTGTCTTCTCTTCTTCTCTCTTTTTTTTTTTTTTCTGTATTTATAACAGGGTAACGTTTACTCATGCTGTTTTCTTTTGTTTCTGATTCTTGTAGGATGGAGAAGAATTTGAGAGACTGAACAAACCAAGCAGTGACATTGATACAGAGGAGGACTCACTCTAGCACGGAGCTCGCTCAGAGGAGCGCTGTTACTCATAGTGAGAGAACATTAATGTTTATTTAACGTAGAGAAGGGTCCTTTTTTTCCCACTTGCAGAGCAATGGAGAATATTTGTGGGATGGATATCAGAGATGGAAGAGGAAAACATTCAAACTCTTACTTTGAGCCATACGTGTGAAGAGCTATATTTCCTCTTTCCATCAGTCTTTTAAGTGACTTAAAAACACACTGAAATAAACAGGGTTTTAAAACTGATGCGAAAAAGAAAAGGAAAGGAGGCTTGGATCCTGGACTTCACAGTCTGGGTGACTTACGTGGCATTGGGAGGGCACTCCTGAAGGTGACATTCTCTCACCTTTGGATGGCTGACAGCCAAGCACTGTGTGCGTCATGGCTCTGTGTGGACCAAATGCATTCATGACCAAAATGGGGAGCCTACTCCTGAAAACCTGTGCGTTCCATGAAACGCCCCCTAGCATTTATACAGTGCTCTTGGGGGAGAAGTGTTATGTAAGCATGTCTGTCCAGGACTTTGGGTCAGGTGGCATCTTATGCTTGTCTTGGGTTTTATCAAGGGGTGATCCCAGAATTAATTTCTTACTGAATGATCTACGGAACTTGAGAGGCTTATGAAATATGATGCCTAATCACAGTAGGGATTTGTTTGTTTGCCGGTGTGCCTCACATTGAGAACTGGAAGACAAGCTTTCTGAGTGTTTAAATCTGCAGGCTTCAAGTCCATAACTGGTTCTTATAGTTTCTCAAGTGAAACAGTTTCATTTTTGCTCTTTCTGGAGATGCAGTTGCAGTTTGTCCCTAAAAGTATACCAGCGATTTTCTTTGTACTTCACTGCTACAAAGTTTTATTATTATTATTATTGTTGTTTGTTTGTTTCTTTGTTTGTTTTTTGGTTACTCAGAAATCCTTCGGAAGTATACTTTACACTGTCTATAAATACAGAATTTTGCTTAAAAAAATCAGATTAAGATCCAAATCCAACTTGATGTAATCAAATGAAAATGTGATTTAACCAACCTGCACTCTGAATGCTGCTTGAAAATATATTTTAGTATTATGGCTATTAGAAGATATTGCAGCAGTGAATGTAGTTAGAAGCTGTAGAATTGCTTGGCCAGTCTACCTTCTAACAATAATGGAAGAAGCAAATGGTGTGTGGTAGCAGTGAAAAGGACATTAGGTTTGACTGAAACATATTACTTGATCAGCACCAGGACTTTTGGGTTCTAACCCCATGTCTTCCCCAGCTTTGGTAAAGCATCCCACGTCACTGCAACTTCCTGTAGGAATTAATTGATTATTAAAGTAGAGGTGATAAAGCTCTTCCCCATCTATGAGGATCGATGGATGGTTTTGCAGCATCTTCAATTGTGTAAACATTCCAGCAAGTCTTTGCTTTTCTAATAATTAAGATGTTACTAATAACTTTTTAAATTGACTTGTAAATTGACTGTTTTAAGGCATTTTGGCATTTCAAATTCAGATAGCTGTAGCTGACTTGAGCAAGATTTCTTCTGAATCCATCTTACCAAATTTTCATTTGAGAAAGTATAATAAATCAGATAATATGGTTTAGGGAACATTGATTCTTCAAACAGGCAGATGCTCAGAGTGCAAGTTTGGTTTGAATGGTCTTAATTCTGTTTTCATCAGTGTAAGTCTGTGCTGGCTCCTGTGGAGTCCTTTTCATTCTGATTTTCTTTGATGACTTGACTGAAAGCAGAACAGATTTCACTGACTTCAGCCAGTATCTCTCCTCAAATTTTCAGTGTGCCACTGTTGTGTGCCTGGCTCCCAGTGACTGGCAAATTGAACTACAGAATACCTTTGTAGCAAATTAGCAAATGGTGTTTTTTACATGCAAATTATTGGGTATAACTTTGAAAGAGCCTGAATAAGAGTACATTATACAGTTGGATGGCACCATAGGCTGCAGGGCCGCTGCCTTTTTTTTTTTAAACGGCTATGTGTAGAGAGTTCTTTCAAGTGGGACCAATATATGAAAACAAGTATCATATAGCCACTTTGGCCTACAACTTGAAGAGCATGAGCAAGAGGATGCAGGTAGCAATTTTGTTTGGTGACACTTCACCAGGTAGGACTGGTAATGCTTTACACTCATCTTCAGAATAGAAAGTGAGTGATGGGGAAGGGCCAGGGGGAGAGAGAGAGCATTTTGGAGAGTACCAAGTGCAGTCATCTTGGAGCCGTTGAGATTTTTGCTGGTTTGGCTTTTGAGTGAGATGAAAAACAGATTCCAAATAATTCAGAGAATTTTGGGAAGGGGGAAGAGGATAGGGATGCAGAAAAAATGTTTCTTGATGTGTTCTTAAAACCTCTCGGAACAGTGGAAAGGATGTTAGCTTATAATTTCCTCCCTTCATGAATGGGTCTTTTTTTAGTGGAAAGATATTGTCAAAAGAATTCTTAAGAGGATATGTAATGAGTCTCAAAACCTCATAACACACTGTATAGTAATCAGCTACTGCTGCATTTTTTTCTGTGGGCTGAAGACAGTTCTTCCTCTGTTCCATTCTGCAGTCCTGTTTCCAGGCCTTTTGTACTAAGAGCTTGCTTATGCAGGCTGTGTTGATGGCTTATACCTATTTTAATTAATGTACTTCCTGTTAATGTTCCATCAACGGGGACAGCCTATTTCCAGTCGTTGCCAATGACTATCAGCTTATAAACTAAGAATGTAAATTGTTGCTCTAATTTCTGACTTTTTTTTTCTTGGAGTATGAACTTTTTCTAGCATATTTTAAGAAGACTTATACAAAATGAAATTGCTATTGTTGTTTATATGTGATGACTTTGTAAGCAGTGTTGAGTTTAAAAAAAATATTTCGTTGTGCTTGTAAAGCAGATGATTTCAACAAAAAGAATCCTAGTTGTTTGGATCTGTATGGAATGATAGCAAAGGATATCTGAATATAAATTGCAGAAACATGTTTTTATTGATATATGGTGTCCTGTTCGGGCGGGAAAAGAAGCTTCAATGACCCTCCCTGCTCCCCCACCCTCTCTCTCCCTCCCAACAAAAAACCCTCGAACTTTTAAAAGCCTGAACTATGGTAAGACATTTTTTCTTTTTTGTTGTTTTTTTTTGTGTTTGTTTTGATTTACATGCAGCTTTCCAATATATACTTGCCAGAGTTCATTATCTTTTGCAATCATAGTTACCAACCTTAGCAAATATTTCCAGAGTGTGAAGAGCTGTTAGATATAGATTGCTTTGCACTTACACAAGCAGTAGCTTTTTAGATCAGCCTTCCCAGAGAGCTTTGTCTTGTGTAAAGCCAAAACATAGAAATCAGCCTCATATGCCAAAAGACCTCTCATCAATTCAGTGTTGGTTGTGAGCATTTGACATTTCTGATTCAAGTTTGACTGAAGAGAAATGAAAGATGGAAAAGACTGATCTGCATATCTTAAAAACTGCACCTAGCCTTTTTTCAATTCTTGTCCTGCTTACTGATTTGAAGATTCTCTTGGGTTTGCCAGAAGGGTTTTCCGTAATAATGAGAACTGTATGCTCCCTTTTGCAATAACATCAACATTAGCTACTGTCTGAAAGCAAGTAAGGATTTGCAAGCACTGCCATGGCAGTGGGTAAGTATTTCTACTGTGCACACGTTTGCATACTGTGTGTCTGAAACCAAGCTCTCTTTCTCCTCAGATGACAAAAGGGAATTTTGTAAGGAAAGTTTTGGAACTCACCATCCACTTTGCCACGTAGTCTTTAGCAAACACATTTGGCAGGGGGAGCATTTTTTAACTGGGGAACACTCAGAAATGTTTGAATTTAGTAGTGGCTAGGAAGGCTACATTCTTCCTTCCAGGTTTGAGGAAGTAGTTTGTAAAACCTTTCCTGAAGAGAGGGGAGAGATGGGTTCTTTTTTTTTTTTTTTTTTTTTTTTTTTAAGACAAGCCAATTAAAGCAATATTTATTTGGGTTGATTTCAGCTATGTGAATGTAGCAACTGAGTCCTCGTGCTTGGAAGATGATCTTGCATGAGAACAGCCATCTGGGAGCTGAATCAAATCTCAAATATGTAACAGAAGTTCAGAAATAATTGTGGAATCATGTGGAATCTTCCCACTAAGAACTGTAAAAATAAGACCTTAATAAACCGGTCCTCAGGGTGAAGCTGTGGGAGGACAGACCCGGTGTTTTGTGTTTGGTACAAATGAAGTATCAGTTTGGAGTGGTGTAGCTCCCTAATGGCTATAGTTTTCAAGATGGCCATACAGTGCTGTGGAAAGGACTCTCAAGTCTTCCCTCAGACTTTGCTTTTAGTTTTCCGTAGGGAGAGATGGGTCATCCCTACAAGTTCCTAGTAATTCTGTGCAAGACTGTTATGAAGGAAGGAGTGATGCTCCAGGATGTAAAATCATACTGAACTTTCCTCAAATTCAGTGGGTATTCACATAGACAATTTTGCTTCACAGCCCATCCCAAACCCCAGTGCCCTCTGTCGTAAGCGAACAGCTTGTTCGCTTTGGAGTTATCTTGTTCAATGCAACTCCCACAGAATGCCTGACCTGGGTTTGGTACAGGCATAATTTAACTTTGAATTTGCAAAACCATGTAACTTAAATCAGGTATCGTCCTCTCTTCTAGTAAGCTCATTTTTTATGCCTGCTCAGTACAGGAGGTTGGTTTCCACCAACTCAAGATTTGTAATATGATTTTAAAAGGGCTTTCATTTGAACTTTTTCTGCATTCTTGTTGTTCATGTCGAAATGAGCACCTGAAAGCAAACACTCCAAAGCTGTTGCTGCTGTTGTCTGCAGGAGGAGGCTGCTGGACACCTGGCATGCTTTGGGCCAAGCAGTCAGGCAGCTAGCCCCATGCACTGATGCAGCACTTGCTTTCTGAGCCTGTGCCTTCAAACCTTCCCTATTTCTTCTAGAAACACTTCTGCACTGTGATCCCCCCCTCCCTTTTTTTAATATCCTGTCCATGCTACTGCTAAAATGCTGTAGATAAGGCAGAGCTGGGAAGCACCCTGCAGACGGTAGTCCTTTCAAAATGGTTTCTTCAAATGCCCCCTTTCCCTGCTCAGCGTTAGTTGTAAACGTGAGGAAGCTGATTGTGCAGCTGTGCTCTGTGTGGTCTCTGCTTGCTAGTGCTGAGGGGAGACTGTCTCAGAGGGTGAGCAGCATT